AGGCAGTGAAGGACAGGAAGGCCTGGCGCAATATGGTTCATGGGGTCACGAAGAGTCGGACACGACTTAACGACTAAACAACAACAAACAAATCTTGCCTGCTGGCATTCCCTACAAGCAGAGACATCTAATAATCCATGGACTGCGATATCTGATAACTCTATAATATGCAGCATGAATCAAGGTTGGAGATTGGTTCCTCTCAAAACAAACCAGGGATAAAAGCCACTGTTTAGTTTTTTCTTTTTCCTTCTGGTTTCTTCCAAAAGTTACAAGCAAGATTTACAGAAAACAATAAACACACTATGGAGGGAGCTACCCATGATTTACTGGCCATACCCAGTTGCAGAAGCAGCCCATGGAAATAATCTGAGCGTGCTGCTGGTTCACTGGAAAGCCATCCCTTGGTTTACAGTGTCACAACAACTGTCCTATTTGAAAAATGTGATTCTGATAAGTTTTCTATTTAGGGCAGTTCACACCTAGACATTCCATCATGTTTTTCTGAAGCAGCTCAAGAATTTGAGGACATTTTTGAAGCAAGGTAATACATTCTATAGAACATGAACTGGGTGGACTGGCCAACATCAACAGAGACGTCATTCACATTCAGACATACGCACACATATATACTCTCTCCCACCACCACCACCTCCTATCATAACCCTGTGCATTTTGCTAATGATGAAAGAATGAGTGAATACAAGGGAACTGTGATTGGCAACGCGACTCACTCGTCAAACAGGACGTTGTGTTGGGGACAAACACCTAGATTCTTCCGGATAGTGCTGAGTTCAGAACGGATATCTTTACCCAGGATGAAGGCTGTGCCTGACGTTGGGGGGAATAAACCAGTCAAAATGGACCTAAACACAACAGAGAAGGAGTTAGGTTCCAACATGACAGAGTTAAACATGAATGAAGAAGTTCTTTCTTCCTCTTTAACAAGTTTGCCTCTTACATTGTGGTAGTTTTTCCTGCTCCGTTGTGCCCTAAGAAGGAGGTAATTTGCCCTTCATAGAAATTCAGCGTAAGACCATCTATAGCCGGCTTCTTGCCCTCACAGTAAACCTTCACCAGGTTCTCAATGGAGACACCAAGGGGAAGATGGCTTGGCTCTTCTTCCATACAAACTAGAAAAAGGGAAAGGAATTCCCATTAACAAGCAATCAGGTTTGTTTGTTTGTTTTTGCAGAAGTGCAATCTTCTTGAACAATAATCTGGGTAGCAGTAATGATGGGGATCATAGGACAAATTGGGATATGCTGTAGATGTAGCCACTTTATGAATGCCAGGGAATACGACTGTTGCAAAGCTAACTGACCGCAACTGAACTATGAACTGTCAGAAGATTTCCTTCAAAAAAGTCTGTGGGGAAAATTAACTGACCTAGGTTTGATCAAGCTAGGTCAAAGCTGCTGCTTCTGAACAGGCCTTGGTTAGGTTTGTTTTGGCACCAACACTACAGTTTAAGGTCCAACCATGTTTTTGCAGGATTAGCCCATGATCCATCTAATCCAACCTTTCTGAATTTCAAGAAATCCCAATATGACTCTTTAACTACCCCTCTTCCTTATTTCAGCAGGCATCTTCTTTTTTCCATGATGCAGCTAAGATTGCAAATGAGTCACTTACTTTCACATGACTCTGCAGCATGAGACGGGAGCCACTGTCCTCCAGATTCCTCACCAAACCAATAGGATTTCATAAAAGGGAAGTACCAAGGTCTGGGAATGCCATACTGACCTAAACAGAAGACAGAGTATTTTCCATGAAACAGAAGAATGGGTCTTAGCATTTGAGATATGCAAAGGTGCTTTCCAAATGGCTGAACTGGGCTTGTTTTGCACACATTCAAAGGAGTTCTAGCCACATCAACCTATTTGATTTGGGAAGCACCACATTTATGATTTATCCCTAAATTCTGAAACTGAGTATCTACTGATGGGAACAAATTCTAGGTTCTTTGTAAATCACATTTAGAAATTCATTCTTTTAACCAGCATACACATTTGTTTCGGTTGAGCCAATTAGCTTGGATTTCAGCTGCTGCTCCAGAGGAAATGCTATGAAGTCAGTATTGCAGAATATATTCGGGAGCTACAGAATGGGCACTTCTCATTGTGGGAATTCTCCTCTGATCATGCCTCCTGGATCCTCAGATCAACCCCTCCACCCACACTTCCTGCAAGAGTCGAGATGCTTTTGTTCCTTGCCACTGTATTTCTGCTTCCTCCTCATGCAGAGGAGCAGCTATGCTTCCCATCCTCCACAACAGTGGTTTTTTCCTTGTGGAAACTGGACACCAGAGATAGAAATGAAGATTAGGGGGCAGGTTGCTGACTTGCTACCATGCTGCTATGAGGCCACAATGCTGTCTCATAAAACTGAAAGTTGGAGACCTTGTCAGGGAAACAACATCCCAAACTGGCAAATGGTTTTACTGGGAGAAGAAGATGGGGCTGTAGAAATTAACAGGGCAAGAAGGAGAAAGAAAGGAGGAGGGGGGGCAGCGAAGGAGGAGATTCCTCACCTGGGAAAACAGACTCAATGTACCAAGTCATAGTGCCATACAACAAGCTATCCAGCAACATCATGCACACAGATGTTGTCAAGTTGAAGCTGTCTTCTTCCACAGGGCTTTCAAATAAATTGTCCCACTGCAATCCAATGCCCTGTTCTTCAAACAAAGAAATGTACTCGCAGCCAAACCCAAAGGCAACAGGAGAAAGTAGGCTCTGGTGAAGAAAGACAGCCAATTAGTACTCTTATTACTTTCACTAGTTACGTTTTTTTGACATGAGGAAAGCCAGTGAATCAGATTAAACCAGCCACTGTTACATACTCTAAGTAAAAGGGACCCAAAGTAAAAGATGAGGCAGATGGGTACTTCAGTCACTCTTCATGATTGATTTATTATATATTTGCCCAATGGTGGTAATCATTCAACAGAAACGTGATGCATTGTATCTTTGCCCCACTCATGTCATCTTGAAGCCCCATGCACCTGAGGAGGGTGGGAAGGTTTCACAGAAAAACGTTCTCCATGCAAAGGGTAGTAAATGTATGACTCCCATTTCCACTCAGAGATCAACAAACCTGATTAATGTGCATTAGAAAGCCATATAGTGGATTTGAAAGCTTTACCAATAGTTGAAATATAACTTACATTTTGTTACACATTAGTCACAGATTTAAGGAATCAGTGTTAAAAAAAAAAAAACACTTAGAAAAATCTGCAATTACAGCCCTCCCAAACCTGGTGCCTTCCAGATGTACATGGCTAAAATTTTCCATCTGAGTTGCATAATGATGGGAGCCTTTGTCCTGTGCATCTAAGAAGCACCAGGCTCTGGAAAATCTCTTTTGCTTACACACAATAAAACAGTCTACCTGCTTTCTGCCAATACTCACTGCAAATACTCTGACAGAGAAGCTGATGTGCGTCTGCCAGGCGACACATACGACGTAAGGCAAGTAAAGAGTAAAATAGATAATCCCTCCACAAGCAGTTGCTATGTTGGCCCTGGAGAAGAAGGTGCTGATGAGGAAGCATTGTGAAATGGTCACTACACCAAAGAGAGACAGGAAGATGAAAATCACTGTGGGGTCACTGTAGGGCAGCAGGTTGCCTTTCTGGATAAAAAGAAGAGCCAGAGGGAATACGTTTGTGTTGCACCAAACACTGTACTGTAAACATACAATTGCTAAAACTGTCTGCAGACCTTTGTCCAGTATACTTTCAGCATCCAAGTTCTGTTTGCCCCCAGGTAATAGGTGAAAAAGAGCAGTGACCATGCGCACCATCCATGTTCTTCTACAGACAAGCTAGATGTCTACACTGATCTGTTACTGGCTGGCTATCTTTTTTATTCTCATGTTCCAAGAATTCAGAGAAATATTTTTGTTGCATAAAACTTTGTGAGGCATGCTTGAGCAAAGGCTGGGGTCACACACTACATTGAGCCATAATAAGATCTATTTGGTTCTGACTTGACATGTGTGAATTCAGCTAGTGTCTTAGCCAGGCCAACCCTGGATCTTTCACATTTGGAAAATGTGGGATTCCTATATACAAAATGACACTTACCCCAAGACCCCCAACCTGGGGCCCCCATATGTTCTAGGACTACAACCCACAATTTCCAATTAGAATGTTTTTTGACAATGCTGGTTGGGAATTCTGAGAGATATAATCCCAAATCATCCCAAAGGGCACTCATGGAGAAGGCTGCTTTAGCTCATGTACTCATCTAGTTGTCCCATAGTTAAACTGGTCAGGAATAAAACCATTCACTTGTTCACTTGTGGAAGAAGAATATATGTTCCTACTCTCCATTTTAGCCTACCCGCCCTTGACTAGATAACTATGGCATGTCAATTATTTTTAAAATTTAGTCTACAGTCCACTGATGGGCCTGAAATGTTTTTGGGTGATTCTACCCTCTGAGGTCATCGTAAAAATAAAACCAAGATGTGCTGAGGACTTTCTCCAGAACAAACATTACATTAAAGTTCAATTCTAACTAGTGAATACCTGAGCGGTATGAGCCCCCACAAATATATTCACCAAGCAGCATTTTCTTTTCCCTTCCTTCTCTACATTTTCAGTGCAGCTACATCAGAGCATGGAAAATATTAAGCATTAATTCAGTATTGGTTAATCTCCCCTGGATGGTTGTAAAACATGAAAATGAGTGAACCCCACAGGATAACTGAAGTGCAATAGCAATCTGGAATTTTGTAAAAAAAAAAAAAAAGATCCTGGCATATGAACGATGGCTTCTTTCAGCTGGCCTAGCCGAAATTTATTTAGCCTTCTTTTAAGGTCACAGTCTATGCTACAGAAACAAATTTCTGAATATATACAGGCTGAATATATTCTCCTGTAACCAGAAAAAGACTCCTGGTTGTGCAGTTAATCACTATAGTAAGAATAAACACAAACTAGCAGAAGCATTAGCTACATGTAGAAATATTTCACTGTGTGAAGGAGAAAGAATGGAAGAACATATAATATTTAAAAATTAATATTCAGCATCTATATCAGAGCTGGACAAACTGGTACTCTTGAGATGTTCTGAATGTCAGTTCCCGATAGACCCAGCCAGCACAGCCATTGTGGTACTAGTCCAAGATGCTTACCCACTATATACACATATATTATCTCAGCACACTTTACAACAGTCCTGTACAGTAAATCATGTATGGAGGATAAAGACTTAATCATGAAGGATGAGAGCTAATTGATGACTTAATGGCTCAGGGGAAGCTGTATAAAGGCAGTGGATTCATATTTTACATCAGCCTTCTAGGATAGCATCTCAAAGCATAAAAGCCATTCCTATAACCTTTAACCATCATTGTCCTGCGTTGACTGAGAATTAGGTTGGATGGTTGTCTACCGCATTGGGAGAATGCAAGCTTGAGGAAGAGTTCTTAACATTTTTAACTACAACACAGATTAAGCATTCTATCAAGAAAAGGAGGGGGAAAAAAGTGAAGTCAATCTCACCTTAAGGATGAACGTCAGAAGCCCTGCGCTTATGAGAATGGGGATGAAGCTACTAATGAACCAGCTAAGCCAGAGGATGCCATTGTTGAGGCCCATGATCCTCATTGTCTCTTTCAGCCGGGTTTCCTTCTCATACACAATCCCCTTGATGATCACCGCTACTGAGTAGATCCACGCCAGAATCATAAAAAGGGGCATCGACTGGCTCGTGATACGCAAGAATCTAGAAAGGAAGCAGCAGGCAAACAAAAGTTTGGGAGGATGTTTTCAGAGGCAGCTGCTGTTGTTTCTAAAATCATCTTGGATCCTGGGAATAAAAACTGTCCTAGGAAGCATCCTAGACACCATCTTGAAGGTACCTACTTCCTCTGAGATGGTTGAAGGAGGCGTCTTAAAACACTTTCCTCTCACAGGACTGTAATATTGGACTTTTTAAAGCAGAAATCCTGTTATTTCCTCCAGCTAAGATAAGGTCTGATTTTAAATTTGCAAAATATGGCTTATTCTGCATTAAGGTGGAACCAGAAATATCAACAGGATATTCATCCAAAGTGTCCCTTACATGTCATCCACATAACACGGGTAGGGCATCTGCTGAACATAGACGCCAGTTTTCTTCTCAGAGCCTGTCAAAGCCCGGATGATTGCTTGCTCTATTACATCCTGCAAGTAAGTGAAGCCTCCCCAGATGTAGCGCATGTCATCAAAAGGATCAGCTCGAGGGCCTGGATCCCAGAATCTGCAAGAACAGGCAACAACCATTTATTGCTGATTGTAAATTAAAGTTCTCACATCTAAGACTATAGTTGGAATCTTAGCAAAGCTTTTCCAAATGCTCACTTGTCCTTAATTTTGTTGGTCCTTTCCACGCTGTCGATATCCATCCGTATCTTGTATTTGACATGACGGGGCAAATTCACACTCTTGGGAGCAATTTCAGGGAAAATGATGGCGGCCCAGAATCGTCTCTGATCCAGCAATTCCATGGATTTGCTGACCAGCCACCCTTCATTAGGCACTGCTTCCAGCTTGTCCAAATTGACACACTGAAATGACAACAAAGAACTGGATTAGAAGCTGATGTTTATTTTGGGGGGGAAAAAGTGGAAAACCAAGACATTGCCAATTTTTTGCCTGGAAAGTTATTTTCTAACTTTGATTCAGGCTGAATTTTTATTTATTTTCCTGTATATCATTCGTTTGAGTTTGTGGCACTTAGAGGGCCTTAATTAAAAGCATGGTTCTAGAACAAAGTCTGATGTTATATCTTTTTAGTCAAAAGACCTGTTTGACTTTTTAGGAAGAGTAGGAAACCTTCAGACATTTCAGACTACAGTTTCTATAAAACTAAGACAAAATGATCAATGTTGAGGGATAATCAAAGCTGGAATCCAAAACACCTGCAAGGTTGTCTAACAGATTGTCAGGAATGGCGGAGCTGCCTTTTATGTACAACCCTTTTCCTAAACAAAACAAATAAAACAAAAAAAGAACCCCAGGTTTCCGTACCTTGAACAATTCACCTGGCAGAGCACTCATGGGTAACTATTCTCCAGTCAGGAGTCTTAATCCCTCTGTGAGAGACGGATGAGTAAGGATCACAGATGGCTTCCAGGCTAAAAACTCCTCTACCACCATAACCCCCAATTCAAAATCTCACCCTGCACATCTTTGGAAACTGTTTCCCTTCCTTACTCTTCCACAAATCAATATTTACTTCAGACTCCACAGCCCTAAGAAATATAGAAAGTAAAACGCCTCCTTAATCCTCCATCAAGAATAGGAGACTCACTTCCATAAAACGGGAAATAGTCATAATGGCTTCATCAGTCTCATTGAAAGCATCCCTCCAGGTGTAAGTTGAGCCATTCACTGGGCGAACATCCTCGGGGTATTTTGCTAGGAACAGGGCAATCTCCTCCATGGTCCAGCTTAAACCCATCAACTGGTGGTCCCAAAGGAGCTTACTCTTCAGCAAAGTCTACAGTAACCAACAGAGCAAAGGGGATTAGTTAAACTTGCCCTGAAGAAAGGGGGGAAAAAAAAGAAGAGCCATGGTCATTCATTCCACTTGAAAGTCCATCTTATTATTAAAGATTAGGGAATCTAAACATCTATAAGTACAATACAGCAGTTTGCTATATAAGGGGAAAAAGAATAAAGTTGCCATTTCTATCAATGTTTCCCAATAACTTGAAACAGATATTTACAGCAATCTGCCCCAGCCTACCAAAGTTCTTTGGGCAGTGTGGTTGCTGGATATGCAGGCAGGGAATGATGGGAATTGCACTTCAACATACTGACTAGATAGGGAAGGCTGTTGGCATGTAGAGGCCAAACAGGAATTGTCATTTCTTTTTATGGTTCTGAGCATATTAAAACTGCTTGTAATTTAATTCTCTTCTGCTATTTTCATAAGAACTTTGATTATTTCCACAGGGGCCAACTGCAATAAAATTGTTTCTAGCTGAGTAGAGGAAAAATCCAGGTCCTCTGAAAACCATCCAGGTCAAGTCAGCTGCCATTTTTACATGTTTCCTTTCTACTTCTCCTCAACCTGCCATCTTGACTGGATCTTAAATCTTAGCAAGTAAAACATTTATGCTGGAGATCTGGAATACTCCTGTGGAGCTAGGCCCTCACAGGACCCCTTACCAATCACAGGAAACTTATATACCTATGGGATGAGATAAAAATCAGTGTGTTTTATCTCTCCCTCCTCAGTGAAAGAACATGGCATGCTTTCAACCCTGGTTCCACCAGGTGGCAACCTTGTATAAGATCTCTAGAAAACCAAACAGCATTGAACAAAGTAAACAAACATTTCTGAAACCAGGAGAACCTGATGGAAAGGAAGAAATGGTTTCCATTTGTAGTTGAGCATGACCAAAATGGTTCAATGGGTTCTTTGCTAAAAGCAAAGACAAAGGTGCAGGTGTGGGGGGGACCATGCAGGCTGGCTGTTCCAATCCTTGTGCATGGAGTAAAGCTGCTAAGAATATTCACTGTGCAATTCTTCCATATTTACTTAGAATAAATGTGGATAAATGCTCAATTTTCAGGTAGTGGTGTACAAAATTACAGTTGATGGCCATTTCTCCAGGACTGGTATCAAGTACCACAAATTATTTGTGCCAGCAAAAAACGCCACCGTCAGATCGTGATTCCATGCAGGCAGGGTATAGTCTGAAGAGGCTTGGTGTCACACTGTGCTGTCCCTGTGGGAATGCCAACCCAAGATGCCCTTGCCCCCTCCCTACCCCAAACTGTTACCCCCTTTGCAGCGCCGCTGTACCTATTCTGCCACTATTTCACTTTTACACCATTTCATTTTTGCACTGTTTCAGTTTTGGGCAACTCAAACTCCACTTTCTGTTCCTCTTCCTTTTCCTGCTTTTACTTCAGGGACATATGGTGCCCCAGACATTTGAACTTTAGACTAGAGGGCAGAATTGATTAGACTGCATTTGCAGAAATCTGCTTACATTGCCAAGCAGATTTGGGCAGTTGGACCTTTTTATTTCTCCCTTTCTGGGTTTCTTAACTTTACCCTTCCTTCCTTTGTAAAATTATCCTTTTTCTCAGGCAGAGGGCTGTACTGGTGTCTAGTGGGGATGGCAAGTGCAAAACAAGTGAACTGGGAAAGCCATGGGGCTGCATATACCCTAATATCCTGTTTGATTTTTTATTAAGGTAGGGAGCAAGAAAACCTAACAGAGAGAGCAGCTGCTAGAAGAGGATGTCTGTTAGTAACGAGAGGGAAAGAGCTGTAATTATACCACTGGTTACATCTACCCAGCTGTGACAACACTCAACAGCAGGTCACACTGAACTAGTTGCCCTGAAGACATGGAAAAGCAGCACAGATACTACATGCTTTGCCTTGACACTTTTAGCAGGAACAATTACTTAAGGTCCAAAACATGAAGTGACAACCAAAGACCAATGATTATGTCCTGGTCTTCAAAGATCAGGGTCACGTGATCCAGGAATGCTATGAGATTGCCAGGGTAGATGGGGACCAATCTGAACGGCAAGTGAGGAAAGGGGTGATGCCTGATGCCAGGTAGGTTCATTTTTTTAAAAAAATAATAATTTTCATTAAAGTAGTTTTTGACAGATACAAATTTTGAACTGAAAATAAGAAGAATAGGGAAGAGTAATAAGAAAGTGAAAAAAGAAATAAAGAAAAGTACGTATGCCGAGTAGGTTCTAAGCAGATTCTGTTTCATTAAAATCCTCTTTATAGACCTGCAATTTCTGTTTATATAATGCATTGTTGCTTTGTATAAAAGGGCTCACACAGATGGGAATTTCCTGGTCATGAGTCAGTGTCATCCAATGATGAAGTTAGTAGCCAAGAAACCCGTCTCTACAGGGCCGGTCCGACTTGTTAGGCAGGGATTTATCTAAGCCTGCAGATTCAGAAGGTCATTATAAATCAGCAAAATGACAATTACTTAGCTTAGAACATAAGTTTTCATGGCAGCTACTTCTTGATGAAATGATTTCTGGACAATGCCATATGGGACGATATGTATGTGCTGATGTTTCAGCACTTGTTCATTGCCTGACACAGGATGTCATTTCATTAAAAAGAGTCACTTTTTAATGAGATGGGTGATGACAAATTTGATACATAAATAAAAATAAAAATAAATTAATACTGTACATAGCTTATGATTACAGCCTCTTCCCACTGTTGAAAGCCTCCTATCAGTAGAGAGAGCTAGTTGGCCTCCACCCAAATATGTATCTGTTTTTCCAAGCTTTTTTAATATCATCTTCATCCTTTTAGCCTCATTGCAATGTTATCTTAAACAGTTTTTTTCATGGTTCAGGAGTATTTTCTCTTTTTATGTCATCAGATTGCAGCTTTCTGTGTCTAGGTGATTTTTCTCTGTTCTAGGTTTTGTTCTGCACCTTATTTGATTTCTTGGATATTACAGTGGTGTTTTATGGATTCCGTGTTTTCATTTGTTTAATGATTCAATTGTGCATCCCTTAAAGAATCAGGAATCTTGGATTAAAGAACTCTGTTTTACTACAGGCTGCACAGCTGAGTCCTCAGAGACAACACTTCACCTCCCTCCCCCAGCTAAAATGTGTGAGGAGCCACAACATGTGGCGATGCCCATTTGTCTCTCCTGTCAAGCTGAGCAGGGCTGGGGAACAGAAGGAAGATATAAGCAACAGACGGTATCCAGCGAGAGGAAAAGGTTATCCACCAGAAAACCTGGCCTGCATCTCATCCAAAGCATATCTTTATGGTACAGTTTATGTTCCAGTGAACTCTAAATCCACATCCTGTTGTGAAAGGATGCCACAACCTGAACATCCTTCCCACTCCCTCAACTGACATTGGTGTAACTGCCAATTAATTCTCTGTGGAAAGAGGTGGCCATAGAGATGAGTTTCCTGAAAAATGCTGCCCGTGTTTGCCCAATAGTGTGTTGCTCTTCTCACATGTGTGGGTTCCTCTCACCTTTATTTTTTTTAGAGTCTGTGAGAATGTCTTTTTCTCCAGGCCTGCCTTCTTCAACCAGTGCGAAGGTTAGATCCAAGACCAGACTGTTATAAAAACAGTGCACAGATGGTCACTGCTCTTCCCTTCCAAAAGTATAAAGCTCTCACTCCATTACATCATACAGGCGGGAGAAAGAACACAAAAACTGACCCTTCCCTTTACTATAAATAGGGCTTGTATCTTACACTATGTCCTTGAACCATTGCCTGCAAGGTTTCTAGTTCTAGCATTGGCCGGGAGAAGCATGACAACTTGGCGCTTTCCAGGTCTGTTAGGACTATGCATTTGAGCATCTTCAGCCAGCAGTGTCACAAGCCATGAATTAAATAAAACAGTTACATTGTCCATCTGCTTTAAATATACTCTCAGACTCTTGGGAACGGGCTTTAATCAGTGAAATATGTGCGTTTTAGAAACACCAAAGAGTTATTTTTTTCTCTCTTTTCCCAGAAAGCTTCACGCAGGGAAGAAATATGAACCCAAGATCCCAAGTCAATGTCCGTTAGAAAATACTGGCTCTCCAACACCAAACAGAATCACTCATGAAAATGAAATGGAATGAAAGCCTTTTAGTAGTATCTAAGGAGTGAAGCTTAACATTATTTACGGTTATGATCCCCTATAGCTAATTAAATGTCCTGCTCGAGTTTGGGAAGTTGGGGAGCGCAAAGAAGGCCTGGGGCTATCACCTGCCTTACCGCCTGGCAAGTAATGTTTGACGGCCCTCTTCTCTAGGGAAATGTGTTTATAGCTGCACTTGGCATAACTGAATGTAAAGCTTGAATCCCCCTCATTTTGCATACTTCTCAGCCATGTCCTTGGCAGATGTACTTCATTCAGAATAGCCTGATTTATGGACCACTCAGAATCTGCCTGTATTGTGCCCCACAGATCACCCCATTTGGCACTTCATGGAAGCACAGCGGGGAGACTCATTGTCTATAGGGTTGCACCTTTCTTCTCTGTCCCAGGATATTATCATATTGCACAGGCAAGAAAGCTCCAGACAAAGCAGGCTTGTCAGAAAGAATGAGCAGCTATACTCAGACATGCACATAAACACTCAAGGCCAAATTGGCAATCACAATACTAAAATAAACAAACCAGACTCACTTCTTGTAAATTGGCCTGTGTTACCTGAGAGAAAAAGGAGTTATGGTATACTGACCCGGACCAGATCCACCTCTGGGCTTTCTTCCATGAAAGTTCTTATTTTTGGTTTAATCTCTTCCCACATCCCTCCAAGTTCATGGAAAACACCTAGCTCTTGGAATGTCTTGTTTACCTGGAACAACAGCAAAAAGGGGTCTTAAAATCACTTAATGCAAGGCATTGACTCCCAAATGTTTTGCTGTCCTAAGAACTGATGTATTAAAGAGAGAAGAAGGAGAAAAGAAAACACTTAAAAATTAATGTCCTAATGCATTCCAGATGTGCTGGACAACAGCCTCCATCATCCTCAGGCAGCATGGATGATAGATTTCTGGGCACCAAGCAGAGGATGGCTTCTTGGGGTATGTAATGTAGCAAGTGAGCGAGAAGCTTATGGGGTTGCAGGAGAACGGCTGAGGGGGGCAGGGTTTTGCTTTTTGCTTTTATTATTTCTTTGGCTATATTGCTGTCATGAGCCACCCAGAGTTGGGCTTCGTAAGATGGGCAGCCAGGTAAGTCTTTCAAGTAAATAAATAAATAAATCTTTATTTATTTATTTTGCAGTACTTATTCAGAAGGATTCTGGATGGCATTTACCACAATAATAATAAAAAAATAATACAAATTTGGATCCAAATAAATACTGAAAACAGAATCAAAATCTAAGGCCAAGATAGACAACCTCAGTCAATCAGCTGGGGCCAAAATACACTGAACTAAAACAGATTTAAATTTGTCTGCTGAACTGGAGTAAGGTGGGAGCTAGATGTATTTCTGGAGCAAAGATGTTCCACAAAGTGCTCCGCAATACCACGTTGGACTATTGCTAAATCAATCTCAGTTTGTTCTGCTCTGATAGGCAGCTCTCCAGTGTTCTAGTTAGGGCTAAGCAAAAAGTCTTCTCCAAATGTGGGAGGACCAGAGAAATTATTATAAATTATAATAATTTCCAGTAATGAATTAAGGCATTCCTATTTTCTAGCTTCTGCTACAATAATAACTGATGTCATAGTTTCTCTCAAGGCTGTTGGCTGGGAACTGTCTTTTTTTCCAACAATACTCATCAGAATGAAGCTAAGTCCTGAGGGAACAAAAGAAGGTGGCTATTAACAGGTGCCCCTAAGAAGAATCTTCTTTCCATTAATGCCTACAGCAGCAAAGAAAGAAACAATTTGAAGGAAACTATTGCTTCTATCACAACTAGATAATAAAGGTTGTGTAATTTCAGCCCTCCTGATATGGCCTCCTAGCCTTTTCCAAATCTGCCCACATGCACACACACACACACACACACAATTTCAGGATAAAGTCTCAACTTTCAATCCAAAGTTACAGTCTGAGATTCCAAACTGGCGATACTGCAGAACAAAATCTAATTCCTTTTTCCTGGCCCTGACCTATATATTGGACTTCTGTTGAGGACATTCAACAGCAGAAGTACCAACATGTCCTTTTGCTAGGCTGGACAAGAAACAGGATTAAGGTTCTTACCTCCGACATAACTGTCCTTGTGGCTGGCGTATCAGGGGTATACAGGACTTTTCCAACAAGCAAAGGTTTCAGGGCCCTCCAGATAATCCTGGAAAGTGGGCTGGATTCCAGTTTCTTCATTAAATTATTGCAGAAAGGTGCTTTAAAAGAAACATTGGAAAATAATTGTAGGTGATAAATCGCATGCCCAGAACTTTCCCAGCTCAGAGAGCACACCCAGGATAGAGCAGAATTACCCACCATCCCTTTCCTTTCTAGCTTCTGCATGCTTGAGAAGGAAAGGGATGGTCCTCTAATGATTTCCAAACAGAAAACATCTGCAGGCCACCTTGGATTCATGTTACTTACTAGTAGAGTTATCATAGAAATCCACTGCATCACCCTCAGTGCTGTTGCTTCCAAAGAAAGCTTTGTAATTGTTGTCTTCATACCAGTTGAAGGACTTGATCTGCAATCCCCCTCCCTCAGGGTGGCCACAAACAATTCGGGATACTGCCTGGTAAATTTCATGAGAAGAACTTGTGGAATTCATAGTGGTCAGGAACAGCACCTCTTCTCTCATGTCTCTCCAACTTCTCATGCTCATTAACTGCCGTTCATAAGACAAAAAGGAGGGAGGGTATAATCTATCAATGATATTGAAAAAAAATAAAAGTGAAAACCCAATCCCATTTTCTTACAGAGTTGGAACTATAAAAAAGTTTGCCATTGCCTTCTTTCCACTTTAGCCTATGGCCCCGAGACTTCCAAAGGCGTCCCATTCAAATACTACCCAGATCTACTCCAGCTTAGTGTTTCTTGAGATCAGCTTCAATCAGCTAGATACTGCCATCTCAGCTGGGAAACATACTATTGCTTCCAAAAGCAATGCTAATTGCTATCTACTCATTAAAAACATTC